CCAAAGTTTAGAACTGGATCACTTGGCCCTTTCTCTTCTTATCTCCTCCCAGTTCAAAATGCTTGCATCTCTTAATGGCCAGCATCCTCTTGGATCTGCAGTTAGGCTCAACACATTCTAGCCGGAGCACAATCTTCTTTGTGGTCTTAGCCTTCTTCCGGAAAATTGGCTTTGTCTGCCCACCATAGCCACTCTGCTTCCGATCATAGCGCCTCTTTCCCTGGGCATACAAGGAATCCTTGCCCTTCTTATACTGTGTCACTTTGTGAGGTTGATGCTTGCCACACTTCTTACAGAAGGTTCTTCGGGTTTTAGGTACGTTGACCATCTTTGCAGAAGGGCTGGTCTGTCTGTCTGATGAAAACCAGAAACAGCTTCCGAGACACTCCGGTCCCTACATTCTTTTAAGACACTCATTCTGCCCCCAGTTAAAACAGTACTTAGTAAGGAGGTTTTAAGTCCAGAAGTTATCTGGAACCATTCTCTAAGGGTAAATCATTCTCTAAATACCTGAGATTGGGTAATTTAGAAATAAAATAGGTTTATTTAGCTCATGGTTCTGCAGGCTTGGAAGTTCAAGGACATGGTCACCCTCATTTCTGGTGAAGGCGTCATAACATGGCAGAAAAGGTCAAAGGAGAAGTGAACAAGTGCAAAGAGAGTAAAACCTGAAGAGCATCTGGCTTTATAACAACCCACTATTATGGGAACTAATCCATTCCTGTGAGACCTAATCCAGTGTTACCAGAGGCAGAATGCAAAGTCATTTCATGAGGGATCCACCCCCATAACCCAAACATTTCCCACTAGGTCCCACCACATGGGGATCAAATTTCAACGTGTGTTTAGGTGGAGACACACAAACCATATCCACGTTATACAAAAATTAACTCAGGATGGATTGCAGACTTAAATATAAAATGTAAAACTATATAAAACTTTTAGGAAAAAAAGAAAATTTGGAGGATTTAGAGATAAGTGGTGTTCTTAGACTTGCCATTAAATGTATGATCCATAAAGGAAAAATTAATTAATTGGACTTAATAAAATTTAAACGTTTTCTTGGTGAAAGGCCCTATTAAGGGCATAAAAATACAACATATAGACCAGGAGAAAATATTTTCATACCTCCTATTTGGCAAAAGACTAGAATCTAGAATACATAAAGAACTCTCAAAATTCAATATTTAAAAAATAAATAATATAATTAGAAAATAGAAAAAAGACATGAAACAGTTCACTAAAGAGAATATTCAAATGACAAATGCATGAAAAGATTTTCAATATTATTAGCTATATTTAATGTAAATTAAAACCACAATGAAATGTTACTACATACCTAAAGGGTGGCTGAAATTAAAAACTGACAATATCAAATGCTGGTGAGGATGCATAAAAGCTGGATCATTCATACACCACTGATGGGAATGTAAAATGTACATGAAAATAAATTAGTTTGGCAGTTTCTTTTAATATTAAACATGCAACTATTATATAGCTCAGCAATTGCATTCTTGAGCATTTATTCCAGAGAAATAAAAACATATTCACACCAAAAAATCTGTATGTGAATGTTTATAGTGACACTGTTCACAATTACAAAAAAAAAATTGGAAATAATTCAAATGTCCCTCAATGGGTAAATGTTTAAACAAACTGCAATACATCCATGCCATGAGATACTGCTCAACAATGGAAAAGAAAAACAACCTGGATGAATCTCCAGATGATTTTCTGAGTGAAAAAACAAAAATCCCAAAATGTTCTATATTATATGATTCCATTTAAATAGGAAGTCAGGGTGGAAAGACATTGGGGGTGGATATAAAATGACAACATGAGGGAATCTTGTTCTTTATCTTGACCTTATCAATGTTAATATCCTTGTGTGATATTGTACTGTATTTTTGCAAGATGTTACCAGTGGACATAACTGGGTGAAGTGACAGAGGATCTCTTGTTTCTAAAAATGTAAGAAGTAAACCAGATACAAAGAAATATGATGTAAAGAAAACCTCATTTACAAGTTCATGTCCTTTGCAGGGACATGAATAAGCAAACTAACACAGGAACAGAAAACCAAACACTGCATGTTCTCACTCATAAGCAGAAGCTGAACAGTGACAACACATGGACACAAAGACAGGAACATCACACACTCGGGCCTGTGGAGGGGTGCGGGGGGAAGGGGAGGGAGAGCATTAGGACAAATACTTAATGCATGCATGGCTTAAAACCTAGATGATGTGTTGATAGGTACAGCAAACCACCGTAGCACATGTATACCTATGTAACAAACCTGAATGTTCTGAACATGTATCCCAAAACTTAAAGTAAAATTTAAAAAAAAAAAATACAAGAAAACCTCATTCACAATCCGGTGCATCTAGTCTTCCTTTTGTTTGCAATAGTTCTCAATCCTGGATGTTTTAACTCCCACAGTAGACATTTGATGATGTCTGGAGACATTTTTGATTGTCACAATTGAAAGAGCGACACTGCATCTAGTGGGCAGAGGCCAGGAATGTTGCCAAACATCCTGAAATGCACAGAACAGCCCCCATAGCAAAGAATTATCAAGACAAAAATGTCAACAGTGCTGAGGTTGAGAAGCACTGATTTGTAATATCAATATCTTTCACTCTGCATCAACATTTAAACATCTCTCCCTCCCAAATGAGGAATCTCATCGATTATTAGTAATTTCAGGACAGGAACTAAGTGAAATAAATTACTAAGTGAAAGGAAGTAACTAAATGTTTTTCTCCTGAAGGATAAAGGCTAAAATTACCAAAAATGAAAATAAAGCAAAATTAATTCAACCAAACTTGATTTTCATTGTACATGTAGCAATACTAGATGTTATGAGTAACAACAAATATAAGACATATGCTGCCCCAAAGAGCTTAATATTTTAGAGAGTCTAAGACACAGTAATAACAGTAAGGCAAAATTATTTTTTACTGTCATAATTTGGGTAAGTTAGTAAGTCTGTGTTTCAAACTGACTGACACAGTAATAACAGTAAGGCAAAATATGAATAAAAATGCTTAATATGTAAATAAGAATAATTGAGAATAACAAACTTGAGTTGGCCCTTAATAGATTTAAGAAGAAAAGAATTTTAGAATTGAAAGCAATTAATAATATTTCACTTAACTATTCACTTTGTAAGTGAAGTAGCTGAAACACAGACTGACTAACTTATCCAAATTATGACAGTAAATTACTGAGACGAGAACTCTAGTCATCTGATTTCTGATCCTTTTGTTGCCTCTTCCTGGATAACATACAGCCTTTGTGATTGCTGGAAAGAGAGAAAACCCTGTCTGACTATCAGTGGAAATGTACATCATCTTTTCATCATCATCATCATGTAGCAATGCTAGACTCTGTAAATACTAGATGCTGATTCACAATCTGGATATTGATGACCCCACAGTGGACATTTGGTGATGTCTGGAGACATTTTTGATTGTCCATCATCATCACAGCTAACATTTGAGTTTTAGTAAACATATTGGTGAAGGGCTCACATTATGAAATATCAGAAAGTAAGATTGGAAAGGAATGGGCATGTCAAGAAGAAAATATAAAACTAAACAGAATAGTAACAGTGTCAATCTAAATGTTGTAGATGTTAAATGAGAAGTAAAAGTAAGTTCTACAGAAATTTCAAGGTCAAATTCTGATGGCTTAAGGGTAGTTAGGCATGGCTTGGTAGAAGAGGTGAGTTGGAGCTGAGAATTCAAGAGCTCCATATGATTTAGGAGATAAGAAGACAATCTAGATAAGGAAGGCAGTGTAGAGCACAGAGTTAAATAAACCAGTGGCTTTCAGGACAGCAAAGAAACAAAATTAGCTATAATAGAAGACTTGAGTAGAGAAGAAATAAGGCTGAAAAGGCAGGATGGCTCCAGACTGGACAGGAACCCAGGGAAACTGAATTTACTCTGGCAAAGAGAAATCACTGCAAGTGCTTAAGCAGAATAACATCTGGCAATGATGTAGGATGGATTGAGCCAAGAGAGATATAAGGGAAGGCAGGGAGCTATTCATCTAAGAATAAAGAATAACAATGCTACACAATATCTGTAATGTATTTCACTGTTACTACTTGGTAGACACTGTGCTAACACGCAGTTTTTTATTTAATTCTCACCACTATCCTATAAAAGAAACTGAATTAGTGAAAATTTTTTGCCCCCCATTCTCACATACCACTCAACATAACTCTTCTGACACCACATGTGGGGGAGTTATTTCCCCACACACCAAGCAATCAACTCTGCAGTGGACATCAGCTGGGTGTCTTCTACTTCAATTGTGATTCTATCTACCTGGAAAGAGGTTCAGATCCCACAGGTTGAGGGCTCAGGACCACAAGAACTCCACTGCTTCAGATGCCAGTCACAAGTAGATTGTCACCCATACTTCTGACTGACCAGCTATAAATTGGAGGCCCCTACAATCCCCTCCTTGGATTCAATGAACTTGCTAGAGTAGCTCACAGAACTCAGCAAAACACTTTACTTACATCAACTCATTAATTATTGAGGATATTACAAAGAATGCAGATGAACAGCCAGCTGGAAGAGGTACATAGGGCAAGGCATGTGAGAAGGTGAGGGTGTAAAGCTTCCATGCCCTCTCTGAGCATGCCACCCTCAAGGAACCTCCATATGTTCAGCTATCAGGAAGCTCCCCACACGCTATCCTTTTAACTTTTTATGGAAACTTCATAACATAGGCATGATTGATTACATTGGTCATTGGTGATCAACTCAACCTGCAGCCTCTCTCCCTCCCTGGTGGTCGGGGGAATGGGGCTGCGAGTTTCAACTCTAATCATCCCTTGGTCTTTCTGGTGACCATCCCCCATCCTGCTACCAGTTATCTCACTAGCATTCAAAAGCCACTCTTATCATTTAAGAAATTTCAAAGATGAAATTTCAGAGTGAGACAAGCTCTCACTCTGTCACCCAGGCTAGAGTGCAGTGGTGTGATCATAGCTCACTACAGCCTATACCTACTAGGCTCAATCATATTAAGCCCATTTTATAAGTGAGAAAATTGAGTCAAAGAGAGGCTAAGTAACTTGTCCTTATCACAAACTAGGGAGTAGAGGAGGCAGAATTTGTGCCTGGATAATATGACACCATAATATGAACTTATACTCTTAACTATGCCATGTAAACAAAGTATGGGAGGCCATCGTTTGGACTAGCCTCCTGCACGAGGTCCCAAGAGACCAAACAAACCAAACGAAGTCGTTCATATTAGGTGCCACTTAATCAAACTAACCTCTGAAACAGGCCAGTTTTCCAAAAACAGAAGATTCATAACAGCCAATCAGAAGGCATACAGTTTACCTAAGCTAGCTTGATAGGG